ATAATATAATTAATAATAAAATAAGAATTTTTTAAAATTTAATGTTTTTTTAGCATGAAGCTGGAAAAGTAATATTAGAAGGTTGTATTTCAGAAGATTATTATAAAGTACGTGAATTACTGTACGAACAATATGCAATTGTATAAATTATTATCTTTATACTAATAAATATAAATTTAATATAAAAATTTATATTTGTATCTTAAGTTTTCTTATTACTTAAATTATTCAAATATTATATGAATGAGACAAAATAAAAGTATAGGAATATTAATAAATTTAATCAAATGAATAATAAATATTTTTTATATGTATATTTTATATTTCGATCATTTCAAAAATTGGCGCGAAAATTTACTAACCTCATACTTTTCATTTAGTTATCGAGTATTTAAATTAATCTTTAGTAACATTTTTTAAATGAAAGTTATTAAGATTATATTCTTAATATTAAAACAGTGTAAAAAATATAAATTTATTAAATCATAAATTCAATGGTAAATTATAAATTAAATTAAATTATATATAAAATATTTCAAAAATAATATACAATATCTCAAAGTCTATCTCAATATCTAAAATTTTTAAATATATTATTTTTAATAGATTATTTAAGTAAAAAAATTTAAATATATTATTTTTAATAATAAATTTAAATTTATAAAATTTGTATAATAATAATATCTAATTATTTGAATAAAATTTTTGTTCCAGAATTCTATCAATGCCTGAGATAATTTAATAAATTATAAAGTACTGTATATTAATTGATAAAATTATTTTATCATTTCTTATATTAGATTTTGAAATATGCGAAAATATTATCAAGCTGCACTTGTAATAATTGCTATAATGAGTCTTGTGTCTTTATTATTTTATAGACATGAATATAACAAGTTAAGATATGTTTTAGAAGTTTTTAATTATTTTGGTAAGCCAAATCAAAAAAATGAAATAAATTGTACAAATAATATACCAATATTTACAAAACTTGACATGAAATTTGAAGAACCACTTTCTTCTTGGCAAAGATTAGATAATGATTTATATGTTTATTCTGCATATAATATACATGATAATGAAATTCAAGTAATAGGTTTTGGTTCATCAAATAATATTAAGAATATGCAATGTGCAATATTATTTGAAAATGAAACTAATTCAATTTTAGGAGATTTTAGTTATCTCTTAATTGATGATAATTTAAATATTGCAAATATTGATAAAAATTTTAATTATAAAGGATATCATTTTTATTGTGCATACACCAAAAATAAAATACCAATAGGAATAATGTTTTTTATAAAATCTAATTCAGATCTTAATAATGTGCCTATATTACCAATCAAAAGTCAATCACATACTTTAAGTTATGCCAATACTGCAATATGCATTACACCACCATTGACAAAACCAATACAACCATTACAAATGATTGGTTTTATAAAGTTTCATGATATAATTGGTGTGGATAATTTTATAGTATATGATTTTGGTATTCCAAATGAATATAATAGTAAACTTAAAGAATTATCTAAATCTCAAAACTCATATTGGAAATTTACATATACAATAGTGCCATGGAATTTTCCTTTTTCCAATACTCATCCTACTATAATAAAAAACTTGATACAAGCGGATTGTTTGTATCGTACATATAATAAAGTTATGTATATCATTACATTATCTTGGGATGAATATATAGTTTTAAGATATCATCATTCCCTTACAGACTTAATGAGAGATTTTAAAAGATCTAGATTAAAAGCTGATCGTTACAAATTAAAGACATTAACTTTTTGTACAGAACAAACAGATAATCTAATCAATAGAAATGTAACATTTATGATATTTAAAAAATTACATTATGATTCAAGTATTCCTGATAGTCAACCAATTTATATCTATAATATGCATGAAATATTAAAAAAAAAAAATATATATACACGAGCGATTGGAAAAGATTTAATTACGTTAAATCGTTATCAATATTGTTTTGAAAAATCAAATTCAGAAACAAATGTTGAAGATACTTCAATTTTAAGATTCATTGAAGATATACAAAATTCACAATTTAGAAAATTTATATTAGAAAATAAATTCTTTTAGAAAGTGATTTAATATAGCAAATGATTTAATATATTTATAAAATAAATTTAATTTGAAATTTAATTTTAAGTCTTATTTATATATATCATATATAAATGAATAATTAAAAATATAAGAATATAATTATATAATATTATATATATATATAAATTTATTATATTGCATAATTATTGATTTTTCAATATTTATGATTTATATATAACTATTTTTTCCTAATATTATTTTTTGTATTAAATACTTTTTACATGGCAATACATTTTTTTTTAGTTTAAATACTTTATTTATCAAAAGAAATAGTATAAAAACATTTTCATAACTTATTTAGTACTATATTTAAAAGGAAATTTTATGTTTATTACTAAGTGCTAGTTATTCACACATATAAAAATTATATATAATAAATACATATAAATTGAATGATTTTATTGCAAACTTTACAAAGGTTTTGTAATTTTACTTTATGTTAATTGAAATTTTAATAATAGATTTGTTTTTAATAAAATATTTTTTGTATTAGAAAAAATAACATTATATAACAAAAACTGTACTTAAAATTAAAATAAACAATAGTAAAGTGCCATTCAATTACTAAAATGTGTTGAAATGTGTTTTTCAAATATTTCAATGTATATTTAAGAATTCTCTAATCAATACATCACTTAAACTTCCATAATTAAGGCTCTAAAGAAGACATTTACTTCAGTCGTTGAATTATTGTTGTATTTTGTAAACCAGCTTCTTCAATAGTTTTATCTTCTGTGAGTTCCTTAGTAGGATACATTGTTAATAAATTAAATTCTCTCATAGCATATTGAGGTCTCATACTGAGAAAAGATTAAAGAATAATATATAAAAATAAATTAATTTTCTTAATACAGATGAAATTATATAAGAAAGGATACGTTATTATATATTGCCTCAAATCATTAATAGTATGAGTTAAATTAAATTGAGCTTTTACACTAGTCCCATCAGCAAGACGAATTTGTAATGTTGTCACAGGTTTTGATTCATCTAAATTTAATTTTTGTTTTGCCTGAGATTCATTTGCTGCTTGATCTGCAAGATCTGTTGGTATTGTCATACCAACTGTAGCTGGAGAAGGACTAGAAAAGAATTATCAAAAATATATAAAAAATAATTTAATAAAGTATACTAAAAAATAATTTTTCCATGTATATTATATACCTTCCTAACATATGTCCTTTTCCACTAAAAGCTTTCACTTTAACTTTTGGAGGAACATATGTTTCATGATGATGATCTTCCATATCAAGTCGTGCTTCAGTACCTTGTATCTCTTGGCGTATTTCTGCTGGTATTTCACCTCGTTTTATAGTCTCAAGAAATTCTCTATTTTCTGGATCACTATACAACCGAAGTTCAGAATCATTTATAGTGAATCCATCTTTCCATAATTTCAAAGTAATTAGTCCAGAATTTGTCTGTTGATTATTAGATGTTGTAGCAGTAACAACTATAAAAAAAATATTTATTTTAACATAATATAATTTGTTACAAAATAATTATTTACTTTATTGCAAAATAGTTTTATTTACTTTCAGTATCTGAACTAGTTTGACCTAATTTATACCCAGTACCACTAAAAGTATTTGGTCTTTGTTGTCCACTTGGTTTTGATTCTACAGCAATTGATTGTCTCTGACAAGACTTAAACATATCACTAACAATATCCTTTTTCTTTCCTGGTCCTAGAATTTGTTGTCCAGTATGTTCAGAACCACCAGCATAAAATGCTTGGCCTTCTTCATCCTCAGGGCTACTCTCTCTATCTTTAAGATCACTAAGCATTGCAAATTTAGATTTTGGTTTTATTTTTTCTTTTGATGATTTTCCTTCCATTTCTGATGATTTTACACTTCCTGCGTTTTTATCTGAAATATCAGTATGTTCTTCTTCTGATGTACCTTCAGTAGGTTCATTAGACAATGAAGGTAAAGCAAGAGGATAATAAAATGTGTCAAGAGCAACCTAAAATATTTTAAATTGACAGATATATTAAGATATATATATATAATAAAATATTTAACAATAAATTCTATGATTAATAATTATTAAAGTATTAATTTTTTGACAATTAATTTTTTTTTAAATATATTGACAATTTCTAAAATAAAAAATCTAATTACTTTAATTATATCATTGCAACATTATTATTATGTATTTATATGTTGTGAAATATATTTTAATTAAAACAAGCCTTTAAAACAGTAACACAGCAATAGTTATGCTCTAAAATATTATTAAAAATACGAAATTGTGAGTTGTAAGAATATTAAAATTTAATAAATTTAAGGTTACAAAGCCAATATTAAAGATCAATGAAAAAATATAGTTATAATAGTCTAAAATTATAACCTTCGTATTAAAATAAAATATGCTGCCTCACCTCAAGCTGCCAATTAGATAACTCAAGATAAAATCGTGCTTCTTCAGGTTCAACCCCAGTTGTATCTATAAATTGCGAAACTAACTCGTCATGGTTCTCCATTGAAAGGAAATATTAAACCACTCGTAATATATAGCAATGTATGCTTATGATAATTATTGTAACTTTCAAAATCCTTCTTGTAATAATTTCCTTTGTTCAGTTAATTCAACTTTACGTCAATTTCTTCAATTTACCTGTCATTCCTTCCATTTATATGGAACTGAACCGGATATATACACAGTGAATGAATCCGCGAAATGTTTAAATATATATTTTAATTTACTTTTAATTTTTTAATTATTTTTACAATTATATCATTTTGATATAATTTCATTTATTTTGTTTGTTGTATTTTAAACATATTAGAAAATATTATTATAAAAATTATATATATATATTAAAAAAAAATTTTTTTTATTTTTTATATAATTATTTAACATTATAAAGTATGATATTTTGATATATGACAAAATAAAGCTGTGCCGCATTTTATAAAATGAATTGGAGATATATTAGTTTTCAATGGTATGCTGGTTATATAATTCTTTGAAGAAAGTTCAATACTATCAATATGTTGAACAGCAGTTATATAAATAGGACATATATATGTTTCTTGTATATTTTTTTTTATTCGTGAACACTTAAGATATATAGGTGGCATATTTTGCCAGATTTCATTTGAAAAATTTTCGACTAATATATTTTTTTCTAAATTCCATCGACCACCAAATATATATAATCCACATATTAAATATGTATCAACATTTTCTTCGATTTCTTTATTCGTTGTTATTTCAAAATAAAAAGCAATTTCTTCAATAGGTATATTATACTTTTTAGAAAATGTAAATAATATTGCAGAAAGAAACATTTTACAATTAAATAATGCATCAAACCAAATATTTTTAGGACGTCCTTGATTAATCCAATTTTTAATAAAATTTGCATGTTTTAATAAATTATCGATGTAATGTGCTAAATTTTCAGCAAAAATATTGATTTGTATTTTTTTCCAAATTCTTGGAATTTTATTTTTATAGATTTCTTCGGCAAATTCTTTTATTGAATCCGTAAAAGGAAGATAACCATTCAATGTTAATTTTAGAGTATTCAATGTTTCCGTTATAATTTTTAAAATATGTTTTAATGACTTAATTTCATAAAGAAGAACTATTTGTAAAGATTCTTTAGGCATAGAAGTACATTTTTCTTCAATTTCATTAATTTTAATCGAGTCATATAATTTATCACTAATATCATTGATTAAAATTAATATTTGATTTTCCTGTATTTGTTCATTTAATAAAGAAATTGGAGAATTTATATATGAAAGAAATGATATCAATTCTTTAGCTATCATAGTATTTCGAGTAATAATACTACTTTTATTATATTCAAAAATTTGAGGTAATAAATCTGATGGAAATTTCTTAATATGTTCAATTATATGAAAGTATTCACATCTTTGTGGTATTAATTTTTGTATATCATTTGAATGCATATATTGTCCATTTTCAATTATATTAGAATTACAATAATCATTTAAAAGATATTTTAAATATCTGCTGTCAAATTCATCTTGAATTTTTCCTCCATAATTACATTCTCCAATAAAATATAGAAGAATATCAAAAGGTACACAATCTGTATTATTTATGAAATTTTTTAATTGCATAATAGATATTTTAAGATCAGTATGTTCAAAGATATATGGTACATTCCATCCTTGAATCCTAAAATTTTTTTTTTCTTGTATAATTGTATGAAAAAGACATATTCCAAAAAGAAGTTTTAAAAAAATTTTATCTTTTCCAGGACAACCTTCAAAAAATTCTTTATTTATTATAGGTTCAGATTGATAAATATTCAATAATGCTTCTTTGATATTTAAAGGATAATCATACATGATTTTTATACTATTTTGCAAGATACTAATTGGAAATTTATTCGTACAATAGCTAGATAACCATAATCGAAAATTTACAGATACATTGAAAGTGCTACAATTTTCATAAATTTTTTCAAGATAAGTTATCCAATGAGTTACTAAATGACAATTTTGTAAAAACACCCAATTTCCCTCTCTCTGAGCTTTTTGTATGAGAAATTCAGCTTTTTCTTCTTGACCTTTACTCATAGATAAGGAAACAAATTTTGATAAATAGCCTTTAGTTTTTGCATATGTAGAAATAAGAGCTAATGGTGTTACACAAGCAGGTAAAATAAATAGAAGTGGAGTTAAATAATTAGATTCTGCATATGATTGAGATATTTTCATTTTAAGAGAATAATTTTGTATATTTCCTAACATATTTTCTATCATTTGCATAATTTGTATTACAATCTTATCAGGATGTAAAATTTTTACCAGAATAAGTTTTTGAAATGTAGATAATGTACTATTCCAAGGTTTTGGTATCAAATGATCTTCAAGTGATTCAGAATTATAGTATTGTTTCCAAACTTTATTATTATAACAAAAATCATCTGCAAGATTCAAAAAAGAAGGAAATGTTTTACTTAGATTATAAATATTTATCCAAGTATTATATGGAAGCCAATCAAATTTAAAATTTGGAACTGTATTAATATGATTTATGCTTGGTCTTATAAAATATTTAATTTCTTTTTCAGTTGTTTGTTGATTATTCAATAAAATTTTAGAACATAATAAGAAAGAATATAATATTTTATGTTTTTCTGATAAAGATCTACAAATACTTGAATAAAAACTATGAGTAAAAGAAGATTTCAAATATTTTAATCGCTTTTCAAGAATAATACTCTTATTTGAATCTTTAATTGATTCTCTATATAGTTGCATAAACCATGCAAAAGAGAAACGATACATATGATTTATATATGGCAAAATATTTAATATATCAAATAAATCTGCACAATATTTAACAAAATGTACATAAGCATTTCGAAATTTATTTATTTTCATTGACATTGTTTTTGTTACTTCTTGTTTTTTCATAATACTTAAAAAAAGATTTTTTGATGTATCTAAACTTTTTATAGCAATTTCATCTTCAAGAATGTTTGTTGTTGTAGAAGATAAAATATTTAAAATAATATCTTCCTGTTGCTTTAATACTTTTTTATTATTAGCATCTTCTATAAGTAAAGCTTCAAATTTTTCTTGAAATTTTGGCTTTTCTTTGGAAATAATAAAATCAAGAAGTCTATCTTGAAGAGCTTCATTCGTAATAGAAAAATTAATTATTGTAAGTTTGCTAAATGTCTCATATGAATATTGAGGATTGAGCAATCGCGTTGTAATATATAATCGAAAATCAAAGGAATATTTTATAATACCAAAACCAGTATCTAAATATGAAATTTTTTCAATATTATAAATTTTTTTTAAAAGAAAAGGATCTAATGATATTTCTAATTCTTCTCCTACATTTTCAATTAATGTAGGAATACCATTTTCAACATTATATTGAATAATTGATAAATAATTAGAATCAGTAAGTTTAATAATTTTAAGATCATTTTTTTTTTCAATTCTTTTAATCCATTCATTTGCTTGATTTTGTGAATCAATAAATAAAGGCCATAATTTGGAATTATTCATAATAATTGCATTTTCGACTGAAAAATTATTTTTAGATAAACCTGAAAAATACCAATAGTTTATATTATTGTCTTCTCCAAGTATATTTACTAAATTATAATTTTTACTATATGATATTTTTAAATCTTCTATGTATTGTTTCCACTGTTCTACAATTTTATTACGAAATACAATATTATATGATGCTATATAACTTATAATTCCACAAGTTAATATCATATCTCCCACAAGATTATCATAATTTATTTTAAGATTTTCTGCAAGCTGTATCCAACGATCTTTTTCTCCTTCTAAGCTTGCTATTAAATTTTCTGCTTTATAAAGTTTAATAGTACAGTTTTCTACTTCTTTTTCTAATTTTATTTTTTGTTGCAGTGTTTCTTGAAGACTGTTATTTAAATCACCAAATTTAACATTTAACATAGAAAGAGTTTTTCGTTTCTTATTTAAAAAAGCTTCAGCTTCATTACATTCTTTTTGTGCAATAAGCAATTTCTCTTTCTTAGGAGCAACTGCCTTTGCAACTTCATCATAAGATACCATTGCACATACCCATTTACAAAGACCTTCTGCAGCACTTGATGCTTTAGCAACAATATGTGGTTTAAAATTATTATCTGTTATATATGTTTTTTTAATAATTTGTATAATATTAGATGAAATATTATCTTTATCATAATCTTTCAAAATTTGTAAAAAATTCATATCACTTAAAATGCGTTTACTTGGACTCCAATAGTCTATATATTTTTTACCTGTAATTGTATCAATAGCTTTATCTGGAGGAACATCAAGCATCACACATATTGCAGCCATTACTAGTTTAACAGTATCAGGAGGATTTTTCATAGCTTTGACCAATGTAATATCTGTAGGTTTTAATGTATTTAATGCAGCAATAGCATCTTCTAAGATTGGAATTGCTACAGCTAGATCAGCTTCACATTCTAATTTCAATTTTGAAGCAATTTCTGTTTTTTTATTTGCTATTTCTTCTTCTTTTTGTACAACAGCAGTTGCTTTTTCTATACTAATATTTTCATTTTCCACTTCTTTCATTGTAATAATCATTTTCTGAGCAGATGATTCTAATTGTGGTTTTAATATTGTTAATGTGGTTTTCATTTTTTCTACTTGTTGAGCTGCTAATTTTATCTTTTCTAAACCTATTAAATATCTATTTTTCATTGTAATGATATTTTTTTGTTTTTTACATATCAGATGAACATATAATTTCAACATATGTAAAAATGTAGATAATGTAACATGAATTTTCGTACCAGTTTCTTTATAATATATAATGCTTACTTCTTCTGCATAATTATGTAATTGTATGCAAATTTTAATTACATTTGATTTTATATCTTTTTCAATATCAATATCTTGAATATATTTTAAACCTATTTGCATAAGTGTATCTGTTGGCCACATTTCATACCAATTTAATGTACAATATTTTATTAATTCTGGATACTTATGTAAATATAATCTTATTTGATTGTTTGTTGCAGTAAAACAAATTATAATATGAAGTTTATTTTTACATTGCTCTAAAAAATAATTCATTACAGCATGATTACTTATTTCTTCATTTTTATTCTTATTTTGAGCGTGTAAACGTATCATTTCAATAATATTATATTTTTCTTCATTAGAAAATAGATTAGGTATTTCTCCAGTAGCCAATAAACAACAAATATCATGAAGAAAATTTTCTCTAACTTGTTTATCTTTTAAGAAAAGTATAAAATCTTGTTTTAAGTTAGCAAACTTTTGTAAAATCATTTTTATATCTTTTCTCCACATGTTAAAATTACAATAAGAATGTACAGAAGGTTCAAATAATTCTTGTTGCTGCATATAAGCAGCAAGAGTCACTAAGGATTTTCTCCCAGATCCTAAGCTAGAAATGATTAATAAATTACTACCTGGTATGATCAAAATTCTTGAAATTTTTATCAAACATTCTAAAACATATTGTGATATTACAATATCAATATGTTTTTTAACATTAATATTATTATATTCATTTAAATAAACAATAATTTTATTTTTTAATTTTTCAATAGAATTAATTTCTTCATATTTTTTATTTCTATCTTTTTTTGTATCTATAAAAGAACCGAACATTAAATAGTAAAAACTATCTTTTGTAATTTTATTATCAAACTTTGGTAAATAATCGAAAACTGTTTCAAATGAATCTTTAAAATATCGTTTGCTAATTTCTTTAATTTGTAGAAAGAGCCACTCTTTGTCATTATTATCCAATATTCGATCACCAAAAACACGCCATATTTCGTGAGCCCAAAGCCGCATAAAAGTAGCTTTAGTTTCTATTGACTCTTTTTGAAGAAGACTACATCCATTGATAACTTTAGCTATATCTCTTATGCTAAATTGATACTGAAATTTAGTAGGTATTGGTCTTAAAATTTGAATTATAAAATTATATATATCAATTGTAGCATTAGTTATACTAGTTACAGTACTTAATATATCTGCAGTAAAAGAATTTTTTTTTAAATTATTAAAAAGTATATTCGAAAATATTCTAAATATAGTATCTACAGAAGGTTCATACATAGTATACAGATTAAAATATCTTAAAAATCTAGGACACATCTTAATTGAGATATTAGAAATAATTGATAGTGAAAACATAATGTCATGAATAAAAATTTTATCAGGTTCATTAATATCATACAAATAACCATAATTATGATATTGTCGAATAAGATCTAAAATATTATTTATTTCTGATTTATATTCATATTTTTGTATATTAAGATCCTCTATAAAATTAATACAAAATTGATTTTTTGGAGGTCCATAATGTTTTTTCCTAATTTTATTTAATTTTGAGATTAACAATTGCTGTGTTTTGACAGCTGTACTTAAAGAAATAAAATTAAATAAATTGGAACATATTCCTTCTGGTAATTTATTTTTTAATAAAATTTTTATAAAACAAGTTTTTCCAATAGATACATTTCCACAGATAATAAAAGGTTTTTTGTATTTTATATGTTTTAAAACTATATGATTATATTTCATTGTATTAACTGTTGGTACAAAAATTTCATTACAATGAGAATTTTCTAAAATTTTTTCACTTTTTAATATATCAATACTTCCCCAATATTTCCAATTACCAACACCTTTAAAAATATAAAAATTATCTTGTATTAAACCTTCATGAGGTAATGTTATTTCAAAATTTTTTATTATTTCTGGTTTTGGGTATTCTTTGTTTATTCCACTCCAAAGTGAAATACAAAAATTATTAAATTTAATATGAGAATCTACATCTAAATTTCCTCCTAATCCCCATATTACAGATAATATAAGTGCAACTTGTGCCCATATTAAAAAATGAGTAATTTTTCCTTTTTCTTCTGTATTTTCTGATAAAGCATCTCTCAAATACATTTCAAATAAATTTAAAGTTGATATTACATAATGTAAATGACCAATAGCTAAAGTTACAATACAATTTTTTTGAATAAATTCCAAACAAGGATTTATTATCCAATCAAAGAGCTCATATAAAACTTCTTCATATTTATCATAAATATTGTGCTTAGAAAAATATGTTTTAACATAAGGTTTCCAATCAATAGAATTTGATTCAATATAAATTATACCACAAGTTGATAAAATAGCAGGAGAAATATCTTCCATACTTATTGTTTCAAAGATAATGGATATAGAATTTTGCATATTAATTTTTTCATCTGATGTTAAATATAATATTTTATTTGTGTCAAGAATTGAATATAAATTCTCAATCCATATAGTATTTAAAGATCCATCAAATATTATCCATCTTTTATCAAAGGAATCATTTTTGGAGAAAGAATTAAGTATTTTAGAACATATTCCATTTTTCCAAATTTTCATCTTTTTATCAAAATAACCAAAAAGATAATTAATGTCAATTGTAGTTGGAACTATTGTTTCTATTTTTATATTAATACCAAATTCAATGCCTTGTTTATATAAGTATTGTAAAACAATTTGAAGAATATTTAAAATTTCTGTTTTTCCAACAAAAGGATTGCCAACAATCATTAAAGATTGATAAACATGCATTAATTCAAATAATTGTATAATTTTAAGTTTGAAAATATCATGAATATAAATAGATTTGGATATACATACATTTTCAAGAGTTTCTAAAAATATTGTATAATTAGGAGGCAACAGCAAGATATCTGGAAACATATAATGAATTATATTTCTAAAAATATGTATGTCTATATTGCAAAGTTTTGGAAGATTAATATCAATTAATGAACGTAAAAGTAATACAATTTCATTTTCATCTGGAAAGTTTCTTTTTAAATAAATTATAGTTTTAACAATTACTTTTATAGAATATAAATTAAAAATATTACATGAATGACACCACAATTGTTCAGAAAATATTTTATATAATGTAATTAATTTTGAAGTTAATAATTTTGAATTAGATATACCACCAGAAAAAAGTTTAATTTCTACAATTCTATTCATATCTGGTATCATCATAGATACTGATCTAAATAACACTTTTAAATTATCTGGTAAATAAGAATATTTAAAAAGACCTAACTTTGTGATAATACAAACATGTCCAATTTGATTTATTTTTAATGAAGAATCTTCAAATATTACAACTTTTAAATTTGTTGCTATAATTTGAAAAATAGAAGTAAGAGTTTGTGTAATTCTTGATAGGAAATCAGTTTTTAATGTTTCAAAATTTTTAAAACAAAGCCAGGCTCCAGAAGAAAGATATCCCTTAAATATTTGAGATAAAAAGTCATAAGATATTATATTAGTACAATTAAAAATATGAAATTGTACTGCAATAGCTTTTGCTAAACTTTTAATTGTTTCTGATTTTCCTGAAGCAGGTGGTCCTATAATAGCTCCAAAGAAATTATATTTATATGCTTGCATAAGAGTATGAAAACATCTATCTGTCAAAGGAGTATTAATTATACATTGTTTGTAATAACCATATTCATATCCATATTTTATAGTTACATCAAAGGTTGATATTTCTACACAATTTTCTACTAAATAATATTGTAACTGTGCAATCCATTCAAAGTCTGTAGATTTTGTAATATTTTTATCTAATAATAATTTAATGATATCTTTTTGTTGAATTAATATAACAATTAAAGTCATTAATAAATTTCTCAATCTTTTTATTGAATAATTTTTTAATTCATTAATTAAACTATTTAAATGATTAATATATTTTGAATGTAAAAAATTTAAAACTTTAAAATCAAATGACATAAAACATTTGTATATTTCATTAGTCCAATAAAGTTGAAAAGAACAAACAATTGCCATACTTGGAAAATTTATAATGCTATTGTATGCAAATGTTTTATTAAATATTTCATAACATTGTAAAATATTATTTTTTATTGTGGAATTTATTTCTTTTTCAAAATATGTCAACCATTTTTCTTCATGATCATATTGTACATTAAGTAAAATTGATTTCTCTAAATGTAATTCTTCATTATAATCACCAAAAATAGAATAAATATAGTTTTCTTTATTAATTTTTATTTTTTGTATATTTTCAAAACATTTTTGTATATACATATTTGATGTTTGTAAATTGTAAGGTTTAAACAATATTTCTTCTATTTCATTATCAGAAAGAAAATAAAATCTTGGAAAGCATAGTCTTTTAGTTTCTATATAATTTTTTAATTTTTGATATATACATTCAAGTGTTTCAATAATATCAAGTAAAGATTTTGAAATTATTGTATTATTAATTTCTGCAAAAATGGGAGTTTTTGAGAGTTTATCTTGAATATTTTTCAAAATTTTTTTGGTTTTTTTATATAAAAAAAATTCTTCCGATAAATGTACTTCTATGCTAGGATGACAAAAAGTAGAATTTAAAGAAAATAACAATATTTGTATATAATCCCATTGATTAATAATTTCTTGAATTTTAGTAAGAGATATAAAAAAATCTGTCATTAGTGAAATTATTTGTTTGACAAAATTTGAAGTTTTCATTTCTTCTATTATTATAAGATGATCTTCTAATAGTAACTCTATGTCATTTAAATTAGAAAATATATTCATTCCAGTTTGTTTATCAAGACTTATTTCAAAAGAAATTTTATTCCATTCTTTAATCATTTTCATTAATTTCTGTTGCATCTCTAATTCTCTGTTAGCACTTATACTAATACTTTTATATTTCTCAATATCATTCATTAAATTATATGAAATAATCTTTCTTAAACTAGTTCCTGCATTAGGCATAAGATTAAACTTACATATTGCAGACATTTCTATCCAATGTCGTTTTTGTAAAGCTGGATTACACATACATATTACTAATGGTAAATATTGTTTAAAATCATTTATACTATTAAGTGCTTGCCAACATAATTTTAATGGTGCAGGTTGTTGCATTGGATCTGGATCATCTGGAATTCCAGAAAATTTAAAATGTTTGTTCAATGTTGTATCCATTTTGATCTTTATTTTAAATGTTTTATTCATTTCAGTAATTTTTTCAAAGTAATTCAATGTTTTGCTTTCTATAACAAGAATATCCAAATATTCAAAAGGGCCATCTAACCATATAGAATGATCTCTTTGCCATTGATAAATAATATAAATAAGATCATAGAATGATATGATTATTTCATGTAGTTCAATCACATTTGAAAACTCAGTTTCAGAAAATTTAAATAATGTTTCTTCTTTATTAATTTTTTGTATTTCATAATTAATTTGATTTATTTGTTTAAGAAGATTTTTATAATATTCAACATATTCTTCAATTTTATTTATATCATCCATATTATTTAAAACATCAAGTTGAGGAATAATATTGTCAATGTTAATGTTTAAGTTATTTATTCTTTTTTGTATATCATCTTCTAACTCATTTTTCATTGCCTCACACAAAGTATTACTTTGTTTAAATATTGGCTTAATTTCATATAACCAATTAATAGTTTTTTTATTTAATTGAATGTGATTATGTGATAAAATTGTTATTTCTGATAATATGTTTAACATATATATTGAATATTGTATTTTATTTTCTAATTCTTTCATTAATATTTGTGATGCATATGAAATATAATCAATTAATTCAATTAAAAATTGTGGATTTTTTGGTATATTTAATGCTTTTGTTTTTAAATTTTCAAAATCTGAACAAATGGTTTGATTAAATTCTTGATGATACATAATAAGTTTATTTAGCAATATATTTTTAATATCATAAAATTCTTTTTTTAAAGATTCTTTAGCTTCGCGTTGTTCTAATTTTCCTACTGTATGATATGTATTTTCTATCATTGCATTTAATTTTTTTAAATAAGTATTATATTTCTGTATATGTTGAATGTATAAATCAAAATCTATTTTTTCTGATATGAATGATAATATTTCTTTTTTTAAAATAGATGTACAAATAGGATAAAATTTTTCAATGATATTTTTTATATGATTGTTTATACTTTGAAATAAATTATTTAGAATAATTTGCAATTTCTTATGAGATTCTTGAATATAAGAATCTGGTAATTTTATTTTAATATATTTATGTAATATTTTTATATTAAACCATTTCTCAAATGGTATTAAATCTTGAGCAATTATTCTAATTTTTTCAATTATATTGTGATATACGGAAAATATTTCGTTAATAGAAGGACTAAGAAATAATTGACCATCTTGCATAATTAGTTGAAATTTGATTTGAGGACAATATTTATTATTCATGATATTTAATATATGATCGATAGATCGTATCATAAGATTTAAAATTTGTTGTACAAAAACATGTGTTATACATCTTATAATGTTAGGTAATTTTTCTTTATTAATTTTTTTTAAAATTTTATTTTTTACTATAGCTTTTAATACCTCATTATAAAATTGATTTGTTACTGTCAATGATCCTTTTTTTATATCATTGTTGATCGTATTTTGAAAATCAGTTAATGACATAAATCCAAAATGGTGATAATTTTTAAAATTACAAATAATTATTGGAAATTTAACTTGTGCTTGGTTTATAATAATTGTTATTATTTCTAAATGGAGATAATATCTTTTATTTAATAATTTACGATGTTTTAAAAAAATATTTTTAAAAATTTTTTTATCATCTATAAATTTATAGTTTGTATAAATTATTTCAGGAAAGTAATTTTCATTCTTTTTATATTTTGATAATATAATTTTACTCAAAAAATCTTGCATATCTTTAATATATATATCTTTTACTTCTTTTAATATAGATTTTATTAACGAAGAATATTTTTTTTTATATTTATTTGGTAATAAATTTAAAATATTTATTTCCCAATCAGTAGGAAATTCCTTAAAGAAATTCAAACATATTCAAACATTTCATTTCATCACTTATTAAATTATCATTAAATAATAAAATATTGATATTTAAATTATTTAAATAATATATATTTACCATATTTATATCCATGTTACACATAAATAATTTTTAAAATTTAAGCTTACACAGTGAAATACACAATAAACTCATATAGTGGATAGAAAATGTTTTATCAATACTTTAGTGTATTCTTTAGTAGATGTAAGTGTTATGAAAAAATGAATTATTATTGAAAAATATTTGATAATTTATATGAATTATGACATTTATATAAATTTGTTATTAATTATTATATTAATTATAAAATTATTATAAATTTATTATAAAATTTAAAATAAAAAATAATAAATCTTTATAATACAATATTTTATTATTTTTAACCTTAAAATATATAGCATATATATTTCGATAATATAAATAACATTAAACAATACAATAAAATAACTAATAAATTTAATTTTAATATAAATATTATATAAAAAATATACATTGCATATTAATATATTAATATTTAACTGGTTATATTGCATATTAATATAATATATTAATATTTATCTAGGTTGATATTACATATTAATACAATTAATACTAATAATTTAACTATGATTTATTTCATAAAGATATTTTTAAATTTTATTTGTAGTTGTCTTTCATACAAAAAAATATAGTAACATATACACGATAAATACATTTTTAAATATTATTTCAATTAATGATATTTATTAACTTTACACAATAATTTTATTGATAAGAATTTTACGATAATTTTCCATTTATTATGTTATTACATTACATATTAAGAAAGACATTTCAATTCGTTCATTTGCATAAGTTAGTTATTGTACACTTATACCTATATGTATATGAAATATATTTATACGATTAAAAATTTATTATAAAATATTTTTATTAAGAAAGAATTGTTTTCTTAAATAAATAAGATTTACAAATATGAGTAATATTTATATACAAGAACCACCTACTACCGGTAAAGTAAGTATTAATTCATGATATTTCAATAAATTGCATATTTGTTTTTAAAAACATAACCTATATATATTACTTATTTATTTTTGTACTTCTATATTAAATAATTTATAATTTATATAATATGGTAAATTTTATTTTATAAGAATACATTTCATATATTAAAAAATATATGTATTTTTTAATATATATATTTATTACAATATATTTATTAAATAGGTAATGATGAAAACAACTGTTGGTGATATTGATTTGGAATTATGGACAAAAGAGGCTCCAAAAGCATGTAGAAATTTTATACAATTATGTATGGAAAACTATTATGATAATACTATATTTCATAGAATTATTAAAGGATTTATCGCACAAGGTGGTGATCCAACAGGTACAGGAGAAGGTGGTGAAAGTATATATGGGCAACCATTTAAAGTTAGTTTATATATAAAGTTAAAGTTTTATTTGATTTATTAAAAGGATAACTATAAAATATATGTGTATTAGGATGAATTTCATACAAGATTACGTTTTTGTCGACGAGGTTTAATTGCTATGGCTAATGCTGGAAAAGATGATAATGGTTCTCAGTTCTTTTTCACTCTTGGTTCTACACCAGAATTACAAAATAAACATACAATTTTTGGAAAAGTTACTGGAGAAACTATATATAATATGCTGAAACTTGAAGAAGCACTTGTAGATGAGGTGAATTTAGTAGATTTACTTTTTTATAGAAATTTATTATATTTTTATAAATAATAAATAAATAATAATAAATTTTTTATAAATATAATTAAATTAATATAAATATAATTTTTTTAGGATGATAGACCATTTTATCCACCAAAAGTTATAAAAACAGATATATTGAACAATCCATTTTCTGATATTGTGCCAAGGATAATAACAAAAAAAAATGAAGAAATGAAGGATAATTCAAAAACTAAAACATCAGGAGTAAAGTAAGAAGATAAATAATTATTATATTTCATTCCATTAATAATATTTTTTATAATAAAATTTTTTATTACAGAAATTTTAATCTTTTATCATTTGGTGAAGAAGCAGAAGAAGATGAAGAAGAATCTGTGATATTAAATAAAAAATTTAGTAATAAGGGCAAATCAGCTCATGATCATCTAACTGATCCAAAATTAAGTGCACAACCAGCTATTGAACCAACTGGACCTCCAAATAAAAAAAAAAAAGAAGATCGTAGTAGTGATTGGGAAAGTGATGAGGAAATGAAAACTCAAGAAGAAATGGAAGTTATAAAAAAAGAAAAAGAGTTGAGTTTTATTTATGCTATAATTGTGTTTTATATTATGTTTTATATTAGATATGATTTTTATTTATAAGATATTAGATATGAATTTTATTTATCATATCAATATTATATTTTTTTTAGAGCAATGAAAGAAAGAATAAAAAGTAAATTGAGAGATACAAAAAAAGAATCTAAAAAAATAGAAAATTTTAAAATAGATGATGATGAAGGTGATAAGGATATAAAGGATGATGAATATTATCTTGGAAAGGATAGAGATGAAGAACGTAAAAAAAAAGTGTACGTTTTATGTTAATATTTTTTGCTAATATTAATATTTGTTTATAATTCATATTTAAATATTTAATTAAATATTATACTATTGTATGTATAGAGAAGAAATAAAAAAAGAAATTCGGGATTTAAAACGTGATGTTAAAAATGAAAAGAAAGCAAAAGAAGAAGATAAAAAAATGAAAGAAGTCCAAAAAGAAAAGAAAGAAAAAAAAGTAGAAATTATGAAAGAATATATAGATACTCAAGAAAAATATAAAGAAGCAAAGTTAAAAATACCTAAGAAAGGAAAAAGCCGTGAAGACTTTACAATGGAATTATTAAATAAATTTAAATCTAAACTTCAAAATGCTAAAGAAAGTGTAAGAGAAACATCACCAAGTCCAATAAAAAAAGAAAACATTAAAGATGAAGATTTTGATCCAACCGATGAATCTTGGATGGTACATGCATTACATTGTGAAGAAAAAATACCTGTTCTTGCCAAAGATGCGAGTACAAAAGATGATGATTGGTTCGAAATTTATGATCCTAGAAATCCACTTAATAAACGACGAAGAGGAGAAAAATCATCCAAGTCAAAAGATAATAAAAGTAAACGTATTATCTCTCGCAAGTAATATGTATCATAAATAGTATTATAGAAAGAGAACATTATATGTAAGTATAGAAGATAATTCAATATAGAATATAATATTTTTACATAATTTTTTTTTGTGCACAGAATTATATGTGTGTAAAATATATAAATATATTTTTTTTTAACAAAAATTGAAAAATATATTTATTGAAAAAATGTTTTCAAATATTAATTTTTTTTAATATTTTTAATATTTAATATTTTGTAGCATTGCATTAATTAAAAAGAAAGAATTATATATATATTTCTCTCGTATCGTTTCGTATGATAATGTTTATCACATTTTAAGAGATAATTTCAATATTTTGATGGTAAAGATGGATAACGGTATACCATGATTTTGAGCAAATAGATGTATAGATCATAGCTTATCCCTGGCACAGTAAAACTTGATAAGGCACTGATACAAAGCATGACATATTCCTTTACTGATTCAGTTTATCTGTTGACGGCGAACGATACACGTCGTGCATTTATATACATATAATTTTGTGATCAAATAAATGAAATTAATTAATGAATTATATATTTATTAAATGTCAGGGAAAGTAAAGTTAAATGATTTTTTTAAAAATAGAATAATTTAAATAGTTTTTTATTTATAATAAATAAAATAAAAATTAAATTTTTATTATTAAATAATATTGTTTTTTATAATCAACGTTTTTTTATCTTTTTTTTCTATCAATATAATCTAACATTTTTATTAATAATTCAATGAATGACTTGTGCTTGTGCGTTTTATAGTTTTTAACATTATTCACATTATCGTGTGATTCTAAGTGTTTTATGCCGCGGTTCTTCAAGGAAAATGCCAACGACGCCATTAAAAATAGATATATTTGGTATGCTTTATTTTGTTTGTATATTTTATCAATCATTTTTAAAAATATAATAGTAAAATAATAATTGTTATATTTCTTGATAAAATGTTTCTATTTTATAAATTTTATAAAATCATTGTCTTAAAATAAATGATTTACCGTGTATATGTTTATCGTTTATTTTTATATTTATTTTTGAACAAATTTAATATATTGCCAAGTTAAATTGCGTATTTTATCTACTAAATCTTTTATTATGTAATAACTTCTTACGTTTTTCTTTACCACGTGGTCATCATGAAATGTGCACTTTACGAAGTATATATACAATATATTATATATCGTAATCAAGTAGTAGAGCTTTAAGCACAGCTTATCAAAATCGTTTTAGCATTGATAGGTGAATTAACTAATTATACAATGACAGTATTTATTTAAACCATTATAAGTAGCCAGGAAATATATTGTCCTTTGAAACGAAATACATATAACACATTCATTCTTTAATTGTATATTCTTCTTTAATGTAGCTCATTTAATTGCATAATAATAGCATATAAATAATTCTTTTTTGTGATAGAAAAAATTTTATCTTTAAATTTTTATATTTCTTTTTTAAATCTATATAAAAGTTTTAATATGCATGTGCCACAATAAATAAGAAACTAGTATTGGAACAATTTGATGTAAATAAAATACACAGATGTGCGCTGTAAATAGCATAAAACTGCGCCATTTTTTATCATTCAGTATGTTGAATGATAATGATTTTATCGAATATGATTCTTTTTTATTATATATATTCAATAAATAGTTATGTACAACATTCGTACATTTTTAATTAAGTAAAGTAGTATCATAATATTATTCTTGTATATATACATATATATTTTTTTTTATATTTACGTATAAACGTATAAAATAAATTAATTTTTGTTATTTCTCTTCATAATATATTTTATTGTTTTTATTTTTATTTTATTTATTTTATATATGAAAAATGATGGATTTTTTTACAATAAATTAAATCGGATAAATTAAATAAAATTCGAAATTACAATTATGTATTCTACTTCTACATGTTTGTTTATAATTTATTCGATAAAAATTCTATAAAAATATTATAGATATTATAAATTTATGATACGAATGTATGTCGTCATAATTGATTACTATTTATCGCGAATGTATTCAAAATATACTTTATTTGCGTTGTTAAAGTCGGTCTCAATAAGATAGCGACTTGAAATATTATATAAATTGTTGTTATTCGTCGGTATCGTATCAAAACGTTGCATTTTTAATTGTAAAGAAAATCATGGAATTTTTCATTATCTCTATAATTGTTGATTTTACGTATATGTAGAATGTCCTGTAGTTATTTAAATAATGAGCCAAAAAAAAATATATATATATATGTTAATCTTTTTCGAACGTATATCGTAAGATCGACAAAGAAAAAAACTTTATTATATTTGTTTTATGTCTTTAAAAATATATATTACGTTACAATCTTCACAATCATTTGCCTTCAAAACCATTTTTAAATAATAATCAAACACAAATCAAGAATTATATATCTACTACAGAATTACAATAGCATATTAATATGCGCAATTATTATACGATGAAAAGAAAGAATTACAAAGAATTGTGTGGTGTAATTTAGATGTAAGATATTTTGATATCTAGTTAAATTATTTATAATACTTATGTATCATAATAAATAAATAAATGAGCACTTCTTTCGAACTATTTATTTATTTACCTTTATATCAAAAATAAATTTTATATAATAAATAATTTTAAGTTTTTTAGTAGAAAACTATTAAAAAAACTATAATAAATAGAAGTATAAAATACAATATATTCGACGTAATTAAAGAAATTATAACGTTTATTGAAATAGCTTAAACATCATTCCTGCATTAATCGTTTTATTTGTTGCTATTCCTTTTTTGCAATTAATTCACTCACTGAAACAAAAAATTCTTATAAGAGTTTTATAATTCGTAGACGACGGTGTTCGTCCAAGAGATTGGCAACCACGTAGATCTCAGTACAAGGTTCCTCTGAGATTATTTCGATTGTGTTTATTGGGAATGTTTCTTCCCGCGATATTAGTAGCAGGGCCGATGTACTTACGATATCGTGTCTATTCCGAGCAACTATATCCTTTAACCGTCTCCGATCAAAGGCTTATCGACGCAAAAGTATCTACTACTTGGTGCCAGGTACGTCAATTTTTATTTTATCTCCAGATATTTTCATCTTATTCCGTTTTAATCCATTAATCTACGTCTCGGTTGAAAATTTGTAAAATAAAATACGATTATCAATACGAGAAACGATTCTTCGCAGAGTCAGATGATCAAAGTTAATACCACATTTAATGCCTATTTGATGAATGACGAACCAAAAGTGAAAAACGAATTCCTACCTGTCTCTATGACGAGACATTTGATTTTAGAGGACGACATGAAGGAATATTGGGGCTTCTATCTTCTTCGGGGTAGCAGTGTTACCGTGTCTACTTGCGTGAGGTAATATAGGTGATAAAAATAAAAAAGCAATCGAGATAAAGCGTGTAAAATTTGGAGTATTGATTAAAAAGAAAAAAGAATTAGATCTATGAATTTTATGGTAGATGGCCTGGCGCTTCTTTAACCATGATTCGTGGCCACAAACATCTTCACGAATGCGCATTCATCGGTGATGATAGTAGCGAAGAATTGGAGGAACTTTTGGAAGTTGCTAAAGAGACTGGTTTTCTTGCGACGAACAATTCGTTTGAGGTAATTTCTTTCTTTATTTGCGAGATTGTCGAGATTAAGGAAAGAGAGAGAGAGAGAGAGAGAGAGAGAGAGAAAAGTAACGGAGAGATTCGTTTCGTAGAACGAGAGTCCTAGCAACGAGCCGGAAAAGATGAAGAGGGTTCAACAAGGTGTACAGTTTCATCACAAAGATCATCTGTTGAACGATTCGAAACATACGATGAACACTATGCCGCATCATTACAACAGTCACGAATTAGATGCCAAGGCTATGAAAGTGATTCTCACGGAACTTTTTGCCAAAACGCTGGATACAAAGAAGAAGCAAAAAGAGAATCCGCATCATCATTACGAAGGTACTTTCGTAGAAACGGATAATATCGATAAACCGCCTATTCAATCTTCTTCTCATACCGATACGCAAGAAGCCAGAAATGAACAAATGGAGAATAAATTGATTAAAACTTTCGAAGAGGTTTTGAGGAGGCAAAGCGTAGCGAGTACCACGGCCGACGATACAGGTGAATTAATAAAAAAGCATGGAAAGTTTATGCATAGACATGTTGTTGCACGAAACGAGACGAGCGAAAAGGAAACGAAGAAAACGACAATCGAGTCCAAGGAGCCAACATCCGGGGAAGTGTTTCGAGATGTTTTGGACAAGATTAATTCGTTGGGTTATCGGGGTAAAAAGATTCTGAAGAAACTGATGGACGAGATTGAGAAGAAAGGTCCGGAAGGGGAAGCTTTACGGCAGGCGGTGAACAAGACGATGAACGATCACACGCTTTCGAATGCTGAGAAACGCAGAAGACGAAGAGACCTCGTTTTATCCTCGCCTCTTCACAAGGAATTAACGGAAGAGGACGAAGATGACGATGCAGCTGTCGAAGAGGTAAAACAATTTATGTATCGACACGTATTTAGAAATCTATTGGAGCATATAGTTTTTTATTAGGAAGGTAAAAGTTTAAACTTTAAGGAGCGCCATTGAAGATTGTGCCATTGAAGATTGTGCCAAGGAAATTTTCCGCTAATAAATAAGCGGCGGCAAATTTCCATTTTGGCTCCAATAAAAAACAGCTGCAAGCATTATTACGTTATGATAAGGAGCAATGTTAAGTACGAAGGAACAAGATATTGTTTAAGCGTTGACTTATGTTTGGATTAAATTTAATTCATTGTTGGAACACGTTAGATGGAACATTATTGTCAATTCTGTAAATATTTGCACGTCAGACAAGTCGATAACTATCCAATTTAGATCATAATTGACGTTTTATCGCGCGCATGTACATAGTTAGCAATGTACGTTATATTTGTATTGTTCTCATTAACGATTAGCAAGCCATATAATTGCTCGATCTGCGATATCTCTTAATTACTCACGTGGATTTTCATCGGGAATGTACGAGAGTTTTCTTATCGGAATATTTTCGAGGCAATGCTAATATTTGTATCAGGGATACTTTTGCTTGGGAACGTTAAAAAGAGAGAAGATGAATCTTCTTGTTTTGAAAAAGTATTTTCTCGATATGCTTTATTGTGCGATATCAAGGATGGAAAGGGAAAAGATTGAAGATTATAAAAGGATTAGGGAAAAGATATTTATTTCATATAGGAGGATAAATATAATATCGCGTGATTTTGTATATAATTATATCGAAAATTCGATCGATTGGAAAGCTTTCTACATAGATAGATTAAGATTTTTAAATTATTTCTACATAATGTTTACTATCAGGATATGTTGAACCCGGATGGCATAGCCGAGGACAGAGGCACCGTGAACGAGACAACGTTGAACGATAGAAGCAATTCCGAATTTTGGAGCTCGTTCAGCAGTTCTGAGGAACGGCTTCTTGATTGCAAAGGATTGATTCTAAATTTACCTCTAACACCTCATAGACAATGTACTCCGAGACACGAGAGCGAACATACGGTCGCTTCGTTTGCCAACACGATTACATATAGGTATATATACATATAAATTTTTATAAATATTTATGAATACTTGAAGCGATAACAAAGATAAGCTTTTAATTTTTAAAAGATAAATAGCTATTTAGATAATGGTTCCTTTTTTGGAAATATTCGCCAAGCCCTATGATATTATTTTTAAAAAATAAAGTGTTAGTTTTACTGAATTAGTTAGTTGGTAAAACTATTAATTTCTTTGATTTTTGTTTTTTAATTCAAACGATTTATCAATAGTTTACAAATGATAAAAGCGTAGTTTCGAGGACTTTGCACTTCAATATTTATAAAGATAATAATAAAAGTGTAAAGTGGAATGCGATGTAAAAGAATAAAAAAAAAAAAATATTAAATAAATGTTAACAGACACTAGATAATAAGATTTTTGATAACAAATAATATAAAAATATATAAAATTACGTAATAAACTAAAAATCTAAAGGTTTTAAATTAAAAAAAAATGTTAAATAGTCCGTCGTGACACGTGTTACCAATTTACATATGTACATTTTTATACATACATACATAATTGATAAATTATTCAATAACCTTGGTAAAACTTAGATCTCAATATTACACTTTATTGCAATTGTTTAAGATTTAATTGTTTCTTTTTTAAGAGAAATTCTTAAAAATTCTCATTCTAAATATTTTCTCAAACTGTCGAGCATCTGCGGAGATCAAACTTTAATAGATCGATCCGTATATATCAAATTCTTCAAATATATTTTCAGAGTGCCTACAAACGGATATTATTTCTTCGTCTTCAACTCTGAAAACGAGATTCAACCCAATTATCTAAGGGTACGGTTCGATCTTTTGAAGACGGTCTACAACATCTCGAACCCGGTACACGTCTGCAAGAATAGCACGATGGAATGTTCGTTGCCTTTTAAAATCTTCAGTAATGAGAGGACAGTGTTGGAATTGCCGTTGAATGGCAATGACTCACTATGGAACGAGGAATACGTAGTGGTATCCACGTGTGAACCAAGAACGTCTATTTATTTGCTATGCATTATATCGGTACCTTTGCTTATCCTTATATTTGCATTTCACTGACAACATGACGAATCGTGTGAGGAAAGGACAGTATTTTAATCTCACAATAAGAACACTCGCATAAAATGCTCACTTGTAAATATTTTTTAAGATTAAGATGCGAAGACAAACCATTGTTAAAATGGCGATAACGCGACAGTATTTTTTTTTCTTCTTTTTTTTTTTTTTTTTTTTTTTTTTTGTACGTACCTTTGATCGGCGGCTACAATGCTTTATTGTATATTTAGAATAGTCAATCGAATTATCAATAATGTATCTATTGATAATTCTAACAGACTTTTTACATCACAGAAAATTAAAAAGCATCACGATTTAATGTAGAGATATACATTTACATCAAAGATGCATATAAATATATGAAAATGACTAATAAATTGTTAATGGGAAATTAGTATAGGCATTTGTTAATATCTCTTGACATTTATAGATACGTTATAAACGTATATATATATATATATATATATATATATATATATATATATTTTGTTAATACATGTTAAATTTTTTATATAGTATCTGATTTATTGATAGATTAAAATCGTATGTTTATTACGTCAATAAATAGTGAGATATGTTTTGACTCTTTCTTCTTATCAGCGGCAAAAAATGATTTTACTTTATTATATTTTATTTTTAATTAATAATACAATACTGATCGATATCGGTAATTTTTGATCAATCTGTTTTCTCAACTGTTAAATTACTAGTCTGCACAAAAATTACCAATCTTTAAGTCGATTATTGATACGATTCAGATACGGAAAAATTTTCCATTGTTTCAAGTATCGTATCGAATATTATATACATATACATACATATACATAAATTTAAATTGTCTATTCGATAATCATTTATCTTATTTATTATAGTCTAATATATTGTAATTTATATATGTATCATATTAGAAATTTTGCATAATTTATAAATTAGCATCTCTATCGCGATTCCTGTTCTTTATGAGATTAATACGCAATCGATACAAAATATATAGAGAATGTAGAGAAAATTTATATATTTTCAATAAAAAAAAAAGACAAAAAGAAAAAAAATATTCCATCATTCGTTTCCATTTCCAAGAGCACTTATCAACGGAGGATAACTTGGTACAACAAACTGGATTTTCCCATAAAAATAACCGAAGTAGCGTGACCGAAACTGATGCTAATTAAGGATATCAGGATAATCCTTTACCTCTTTCAACGTCTTAAAAATTAATCTCCTATCTGTCCTTCTAATCCGTCAGATTAATACTTCATGCCGATGCAAGAGACTCCCGACAACTTGACCCTACGATTCCATCCCCGTGGGGGGTGAGGGAGGACGATTCTGGGGGTCTCGAGGGCGGAGCATCCCTTATCAGCACCGAACACTCGTGCTCCGCGCAGCCTCCGTGGCTTCAATGACTTTTTGAAGCGAATTCACCGACTCACGGCCTCTCGTTCTTGGACGTGGACGTATCCTTGTTCGATACCCATCTTGGAATATTATCGAAGGATATCATTCATCTGTCTCTTCTTGTAACAAGAAACTCGATTTTGATAAAAAAGAAAAGAAAAGAAAAAAAAATAAGTTTATCTTTTTATGCCAGCAGTTTTCGTAAACTTTGATAAGGGATTACGACGAAAATATGGGAAATAGTTAGAACGGAATATTCTCGTGCGAGAAGGAAGATCGATCGCATGAAAATGTTACCTACATTTTAGCGAAGAACTTTATTTACAAGAAATTTCCATAAATTCTTGAATTTATTTGGAATTTATTTTCTTGAATTTATTTTCTTGAATTTATTTGGATTTTTTAATGGATTAGAAGGAGATAAGAACATTAGATACAGTATCGTAACGTATTTAAATATTGATATAGATATAAATATATTAGAAACAAATGTTTCAGTTACTTCCAATAAATTGATTCTTTCATTTTTCCCTTCCTTCAACCTGTAATTTCTTGTGTTTGCATACCGGAATAACTTGGATAACTTGGATAATTCGAAACGAATCCACGTTTGTCTGGTTGGAGACGCACGTGGAAAACAAACACTAATAATGGAATTAATATAGGGCGGCTGGTTGACAGCGATAACGAAAATTGATTTCACCCTCCACCCTCTGCCCTCGTGCTCTTGAGCCTCGGTTTGGTACGGGGGGGTCCTATTTGAACGCGTTGACGTTTCATGGGACACTGCGCAAACCGGCCGACACGCCTCTTTTCTATTAGAGCGGACTGCCGACGATAATTCTTCTACGTGTTCGACCATATTCCATTCTCGGTTAGATTTTCCATGCTACTTCATCCGATATCTTATAATAATACGTATACAATTCGGGATATCACCGATAACACACTATCGTGGCATCGTTAAATCTACGATTTTATATATAACACATTCTTGTATTATAGAAAGAGGAGAAATTTCACTATCGATGATTAATTAAATGATTGATTTAAAACGATTTATATTTATTTATAATCTATTAAGGAATTTGGACGTGGAAGTCTATTTTTCTTTTCCAATTTATACAAAATAAAAAAATTTATGTAACTCTATGTGAATGGAATGTCAAATATCAATATATGGATTTTTTCAAATAATTTTTCTTTTAAAAAGATAGAAAATAATTTTTTCATCGATGTTCGACCACAGGGATTATATTTTACAGGAGATAATGCTAATACTTGATTCGTATTCGTCGGCACGCGCAAATTAAGCCGTATGTGGGAAACCGCTACAAAATGTATTCCAAACGATTTTTCTATCATCAATTTATCGAAATAAATCTTGAGTCAACATTAAAATCAATCACGTGAAAATTAAGTATAATTTATATTTTTTTCATCTTCTTTGCATAAATTGTAGTGGATATAAGAAATTTGCTAACAAATTTTTATTTTAAAATTACTCATTGACGGACAATGGATACGATTGAATTACAAAAGGAAAAAGCGTAGGACTGGAAAGATGATTCATAAAACAAGGATAATGTTGACTAAGAAATTTGAAGAATGATGATTCAATTGTTAAATAAATATATCGGTGAAATATACAACAAATATAAAATATCCATAAGAAACGAATTCATCTTGTGTATCAGATATCTATCGGTATTATTTATTCATATTTTACCACATTTCTCTGTTGCAGAAATACCATATGCGGCCGCAATAATGGATCAACGAAGAATGAGAGAAAAAAATCACCCCTCAAATGGGGTTGCATCTACGAATAAGGCACGCGACTCCATTCAAGGATAAGGCACGTGCCATTTATACGCTTTTTATCTTCAGATTAAGGTGTCAGATAAAGTTAAAAAGCGGGATCCTAATAACGGCATTAAAAGATACTATGCATACGGTCTTAAATCATGCTCTTATCAATTCGTGAGATCGTTTTCTTTTTTTTTTCCATAATCGACATATTTCTGGGAATTTTTAAAACCGCAATTGATATCCCAATTTCTTTTTTCTTTTTCTTATATATTAACAACAATAGCTCAACAAATTGCTCGAGTATCTATCGCAATGAGCTCTTTGTTCCATCATCTGGTTCTGTAACAATGGATAAAGAGTTTCAATGAAGTCGTTCTTTTGTTATCGGTGCGTCATGTGCATAGAGGCTCATGACTAAATCTATCTCCACCTTCTTCCTGTTTCATCCCGCTAACATCTGACTCGAAGATGCCTCCTACACAATTAAACAGCGAATAACATCAGACTCGTGTCCTATCTAATCGCGAACGTTATCAAAAGCGTACTGAAGTTCATTTTTTCTTTTTCTTTTTTTTTTTTTTCGTCTTAAACCATTCATCTACGCAAATATTCTTTCGCTACGATGTTCTTTGCACGAATTAAATCATTGATATTTCAATAATATTACGATCAATAACACTAAACATAATTATTTTCATCACTTATCTAACAAAATATATATTTATCTATAACTAGTACAGTATAATAACCAGTCGATTCTGTAAAATTATACGATTACATTATACAGTGATGCAACGTGAACAGTGATGAACGCGTAATTGACATGCCAAATTACGTTCAATAATTTATTGTATACGATGTTTAATTTAATTTATCTCTAGTCATTTCGAGTTTAGACGAAATTATCTAGCTCCCACGCAGATTGGCCGGTAATAGCGCTCGAATGAACACGATCAGAGATTTAATCATTTAATCGGGATCGCACGATGACACTCTTCGATTCATCCCGCTGGAAAATCTGTAGCACCCTTCGGAGGTGTCACAATAAAACAGCTCGTGGCTGGTGGCCACTTGACAACTAGGCTAGGGGCTTCTCAACCCCTAATGTATATTAAACAAGGCTCGTCCCTCCCTTTTTTTTTTTTACACCTCCCCCAGAATCCCCCGTTGACTCTGCGGGATTCGGCTAATAAGAATCTAATTGTTTGGGAACTTGGGAACAAAGAAACTTTTCGATGTAAAAAAATTTTATCGAGAAGACATTTTTTAAATATAAAACGTATTATAATCGAAAACTTTAATGGTAAATTTAATTTATGAAGAATCTTAGAATTGTTTTAAATAATTAAAAAAGTAATAGAAAAATTGTATTCAATGTAGAATAAAATTTTCACATATATTGATTCGATCTTTTTCTTTATTTATATTGATTTGTTTGTTGTTAATGTTATCTCCAATTTTTTTCATGATTAGAATGATTTCATAGGTGAAAATATATGAAATCATATATTTTCTTTACGCTTACAGAAAAGTTTTAAGAAAAAAGATATTCTAGCAGGTGTGCATAATAATTTGATTCAAAGTGAACGAATCTACGTAAAATAATATTTCTAACAATTCCTATATTAAATAAAAAATAAATATATTAAGAAGTGGTTGTCTTATTCTACATTCATTTACAAGACTATTCTAAAATTCAAAATTAAATAAATTGATAGAATTAACGGACAATGAACAAGACATTGTTTACAAATATAAACAGAAATAATCTACATCAAAATCCGTTAAATCGAGAATTAATACACACGTATTGACGATCAAAATCGTTTATTTTGAAATTGAAACATTATTTACACTTATTTTAAATTTTTATTATATATATTTTATTGATTTAGTTTTTCATCTTTCTAATTATTCTATATAACGATAAACTAATGATAATGAATTAAAATAATTCTAAAGTTCTTCGTTTATAAGCGTACAATAATCTTTATTTGTAACAAATAATTCTTACTAATCATACTAATTTTCCTTGAAAAATTATCCTTTTTTTTTTATTATTACGCGATTATAGAAATACTCTATAAAATATATGTTAGAAAATATATTAAAAGATGTAACTTTTTAGATATTATTATTAGAATTACATGAAAAGGAAGAAATTTCGTTTCAACTACGAAATAATTTTACATAATTTTAGTTCACTTTTACTTTAACATCGTTTGAGAAACGGTTAATATAATTTTATAACTATGGATATCGATATGTTCCAATAATACAATTTTTTTCATAGTGAACCGTGAACAATCAATATTTCTTTCTTCTCGTCCTGGTACCTAGGGGTTTAACAGCGACCTAAGGGTGTTTGGGGGGATGCTGGATACGCATGGAACAGTATGGGACGGTCCAGAGAGGAGCTCCACCCATGAGGCCTGCGCTCCGCCTTCGCAAAATTCATTTTCTCGGGGGTTGTACTACACTTTCTATTAGTTAAATCGTCCCGTTTGAACTCGCCAGTCGGTTTAAAATCACTAACGATCGTGTCCTTGAGAAAACTGTTGACATCCTTGAATTTTCGTAGCCTGTTTTAAGTCAAGAGTGACACTTATATCAACGTGTCGCGCATCCCAAATGAGACAGTGTTAAGGTGAAAGTGAACTATAATAAACTTTCCAGTAAAGATGGTAAGGATCTATCTTATTAATCATTCGTGTTAATAAGTATCGAGTGATTTTCGTTATAAAAATTATGACGAATTAATTCTTCCACGAGTGTGCTTTCTTCAAAAAAAAAAAAAAAAAAATCTCGAAAAATTGTTCATCAAGATACGTGCTTTCCGAAAATCCTTTCTTTTTCTTCTCATAAATAAGAAACGTTCGAATTAATTATAAAACATAATATAGCTGATCCATGCCTATTAGCCTATTGAATGTCAGGGACGAAAGCTCGGAGAGAGGTTGCGATAAGAGCATCCTGTAGGCGCCTATTTAATCTAATTTTGTTCACGATAATTCATCCGGATTTCCCGTATCTTTTGTCACCCGTCCTCTTCTCTCCCATCTCGATCACATTGAATTCACGTTATTATACTTGAACTCATCGCGCACGATCGTGCAGGTTTCGAAGGTGCGACGCGAAAAAGTCGGGACGAATATGATCCGAGCGAAGTCGAGACGATTAATTAATAAATTGCAGTCGATGCTGACGTACAATGGCTGCGGCGGAGGCACGGTAGACACGGAGAACGGTTCTCCAGCGGACTCGCTATTGTCCGTTGAAGGAGAACTGGCGGAGGAAGTCGGCGATTCTCCAGGCACGTCGAGGGACACGGAGGAGGAAGCGACGCTCTCGGATGAATTTTATTCCCATGACACCGACGAGGAAGAGGAGCAAGGAAAGAAACGGCGAGATCGAAACAATTCCGTGAGCAAAATTCTGTTAATTGATCTTAAATAACGAATGATTATTCGATTATTTATTCGGATCGTTGCGAGTTGTGAAATGACCGATTTTTCCCAAGTGTGTGAAATCAATCAGAATTTAATAGGTTTTACGTGTCGATTTAAAGATAATTGATATATGAGTTGTGTGTATATAATTGTAATTAATTGCTTGATGATAACAACGAATTGGGTATTGTACGTGACGAATAACATCGAATTCGAGTGATTTTCTTATATAAATTTAAAATTTAATATGTGGATGTAAAAAAAATACAAGTAACGTTAATAGAATCTTTTAAAAAGATTACGTCCTGATTGAAAAATTTAAATTGACAAATATTAAAAATAAAGCAAGGAATTGTAATTTTAATTTTGCTTTTTCATGGACGTGTTATGAACATTTTTAAACAAAACTTTAATCAATATTATTTTTAAGAGAATCATAAACGTGAGTATTAAGAACTCGGTCATTTTATCTGCTAATAATTTATAATAATTGTCGAATTTTTATAAAAAAAATTGAGTTACGATGATTCTTAAAATTAGTATATAATAATTTCATAGCTAGATGGTATTTCGTCTTCTGGAAGTGGTCTTCTTGGCTCGCCTACGTCTCGAGCAGGGACTCTAGGTGTTCGAAAATTGTTCACGAACAGTCGTGAACGTTGGAGACAGCAGAATGTTAGCGGAGCTTTCGCCGAGCTTCGAAAATTAGTCCCTACACATCCACCGGACAAGAAATTGTCGAAGAACGAGATCTTGCGTATGGCGATTAAGTAAGTTTTAAAACGAATCTAATGAACCTTTTAAACAATGAATAAGTAATTCTTCTACGTGACTTGAACCAGCATGATCGCGTTTAATGACATAAATATATCTTCGTACAATATTTTTTTGACAAAGAATCTTATTCATATAATGAATTATTTAATAATTGTGAAAAATAACTTTAATTATTGACAGAAAATCGTATCGTTTATCACATTTAAAACGGTGAACACGCAATATTCATTATGCAATTTGATATGCTTAGTTAATTTCTATTTTAGTTTCAAAACAAAATTGTTTATTGCTCATTAAGGTACGCGAATTTCATATTTCCCGGCAAAACTCTCTAAAATTTTATATTTACCAGGTACATACAACTGCTAAGCAACGTTCTGGAATGGCAAAAGTCGCAAGAGCGAAACGAGGGGATGCAACACGAGGTCAGGATAAAATGCGAGCCCAATCTCAACGCTCAAAATTCAACGAGCCATCACGGAAAATCGACGGTATACTTGAAGCAAGAGAAACAAATGACCGAAAATCACGCATATAAAACGAGCTTCACCGGCCAGAAACAGTTACAGCATACGATTTCTCACATTGTGTGTGATAAAAATGGTAATAACTTGTTAATGATAGCGCCTTCTGGCCATAATGTACCGAATTCTGTTTGCAAAAAAAGTATAACACCGTCAATGACCGTTGCGCAAAATTCTCTTACGGCGAATCCATTGGGCAACGGAAGTCTAACGCGACCCCCTGGTTCACGATCTTCGATCTTTCCAAAGTCGCCTCAGATAAACGTACAGGTTGTAAGTAGCTCGAGTATTTTGACTTGTTCAAGCGTGCCTGTAACGAGCAACGCATCCACCGGAAGTGTAGCGAATTGCGGGCAGAAGAGGGTGTTGAAGATCGAGAAGGAGGAAGAGGAACAAATGTCCGGGCAAGGTAGAGATTGCAAAGGTTTGCCATCACCGGTGCACGGTGTGCTCACTAGGAAAAGAGTGAAGGTGACGTTCATTAAAGAGTCGAGTTCAGGGTTTCGTAACGATTTTCGGAACGTCGAGCGGAAGTAAGGACGTATTACGTATGAACTTTTAGGTATAATTCTTTTGGATCGATCGGAAACCGTTTCGAAACGGAGAGATAATCGATCGGATATAAAGTAGTTTGTAATTTTAAGAGAGAACTTCAATTTTGAGACCTCGAGTTGTAAAAAAATTAGACTTTATTTGTTCATGATTTAAGAGATTTGATTTAATATCGCATAATATTTTGACAATGCAATCTTAGTTAGATTGAATAGTTTTATTGTAGATTGAGTATTGTAAATAGATTCTTTAATTATGTTCCTTTGTAATTAATCATTCTTAAAGAATATTTTTATTAGTTATTGAATCATGTTACATGATTTGTATGTACGGCACATTAGGTATATTTTTTTTTTTTTTTTTACACTTTCATAGTTTATGTTCAATTGTGATTGTATAGATACATGATTTATATAAGCGACATCCTTTTCAATATCAAACATCATTTAACGAAAATTTCAGTTCAAACTTTACACTAGATAGAGATACATTCCTTTCATAATTGAATGATTCAACAATGTCGCTACAAATTATACAAGGATCGTTTATATATAAAATATCATCTCCGTACAACACACATATATTAAACTTGACACTGAACAGTGGCAAAAGGGGAGGATTTTGGGTGCTGGTTAAACTTTCAATTGATTACATTTATGTAACATTTGATTAAAATAATTGTTTCGGTAACGATCACAGGCAGACGAAATAAATGATCCATGAAAATTTACCAAACGCACGTATTTTTTTCTTTTTTTTTTCTCTATCTACCTTCGTCTTCGATATCTTTCACATTTCAAATCTTAGTCCTTTTTTACCACCCTTAAAATCGAATTTTTTTTTTTTTTTTTTTTTTGAGAATGTTCTCGTTACATCGATGGAATTTTTATGAACACATTTACTCACGAATCAAAAATAAATTCTCGAAATTTACGTCAGGTACACTTTATATCTCGTACTGTCCCTCTTCTGCCGTTCGGATATCTGCTTGAGACGACCAGCCGCGTAACGATCGTCGTTCCATTCTATTGGTGGGACAGGAGTCGATGGCCTCTCCTCCGTTTGACTGAAAGCCCTTCGCGGCGGAAGTTCCACCATTTTTCTGTTGCTTTTACAGTCCACGCTCGCTCGTTTGCCGGAGTAATTGGCGATGCTAGCGTAACTCGCATCACTCGCACGAGAGTCTCTTTTCGCGGGAGTTAGAGGAGCCACCTCGGCATAGCTCCCCCTAGATTTGCCACTAGCGTCCGAAGGCCTCTTCTTCTCACCCTGGAATCCACTTTCTCGCGTGTCTTCCGCCCGTGTCGATCGTGTCGACCGAACTGAACTTACTGCACGCGTCAATCGAGCGGAATCCTCGGTGCGCGTCGATTTTATCGAACCCTCTGTACGAGTCGATCGCGTGGAAGCTCGACGAGATATCTCGTCGTAGTCGTCGGAATACGTTCGTCTCTCTTTGATCTTTGGCTTGGCCGTACCAAGATCCTCGCTGAATCGAAGCTTGTCGTTGAATTTTCTTAAACGTTCCTCGTATTCGCTGTTGAAAACATCTATACCGTCTCGATGCTCCTCTTTCTTTAGTTTAGACGTTTGATGATCCGATTGAACCCTCGTGTCTTTCAGCTGTGATATTTTTTCCGTTGAAATATACGAAATTGTAGGAAACAAATATAAAGAAATTTGTTGTTATTTATAACGATTTTATTACCTTGATCACGTTCATCCTATCGTTGAATTCTAAATCTTGGCTATTTCTACGAATCGATAGACTCGCCCTTTCCTCTTCGCTGCTACTTTTACTGATCCACGTGTTTCCACGTCGAGCATTTATCGCCCTCTTCGGCCATTCATTCTCCGTTTTGAAATCGTACAGATCCCTCATGCGTTGAGTTAGCCTTTTAGATTGCTCGTTGGAATCCGGGGAATGCTTTGTCGATGATGACAACTCTCGATTCGACTCCGTCTTATCTGCAATTAAATATGTAAAATTTAAGAATATTCGGAACAACGTCAATTATTTCTGTTTATATGCGGCAAATATTTTATTTATATTATATTTTGTAATATACAACCAGGTATTTAGATAAATAATTAATTACACCGAGATACACAATTCGAAGATTAATGCTTATAAATTATTACTTGGATTAATTTTTATATAAATCTTGCAGCATTGTTCATTCGTCGTCGCACGGAGAACACGTGATATACATTTATATTTTTTAAACGTAGATGGTACGCGATAGTAGCGTAATATAAAATAATATAAAATTCATTGCTATTGTTCACCTTGTTTTTGGTTACTTTCCGTGCCAGACTTGGACGCCATTGGCGCGAATTTTCGCAATGGTTCCCACTTGGGCGATTCTGTTTTACATTTTTTAATCTGGGAGTTGTCGGTCGCGTCGTGACACGCTTCCGCCGCGGAAGGCTTTCTTTCCGGGTTCATTCGCGGTATCGGGCATGGAGACGGATTCTTGACGAACGTCATCCATCTGGTCGCGGCGTTTTTCGTGATTTCGCAGCTGTTGCTGATCCTTGCGAACGGAGATGCATCGTAGCGGAACCTTGAGGTGTTAATTTGCGGTAGCCACCTAAAGGTATTTGGTATCAGAAATCCATTGTCGAGACTCGATTTTACTTAAGCGCCAGAAATGGTCAATTAATCAACGGTTTTCTTTTTTTGCTTTATTGCTTTTTTTTTTTAATATAATATATATATTTTTTTTATACGTTATATTTACCGAACAAACGAAAACTGCGTTTTGTCTTGGCATTGTACCATATACATTTCTATCCACACAATGACCAACATCGAATTATTATTATTCTATTTACATATAATTTGCATGACGACATAGTTAATCTCTAGTGATCGATTATTATTACAGTTAGTGCAACGTTTTCGGTACTTATCACGAGTGTACGCGATCTTAAATCGAATTCATTCATGGCATCGGTTTCTTTTTGACTAGGAAAATGTGCTCTGTCAACCTCGTCGCGATCGTTCTGGGGTCGCTGCATTCCGTATTCCTTCGTTCCTCGACCAGTTTCTCTTTCTTTATATGGGTGACGTCCGCGCTATGACTCCTGCCGGCCGTCTGCCTGCACGTGATTGGCGTATCGTTTTTCTGCCCTTCGGAGCCCTTCGTCGATTCTTCCTCCTTCGTAGGAGATAATTTCTTTGGAAGTGTGCCCTCGCTCGTTTTTCTACCGATATCCGTTACCATTTCCTCAGGTTCGCTCGATACCGAACGTCGTTTCTCTTCGTCTCTCGATGGCTGTGGTGATTTCTTTAATGCCGGTTGGATACGTGTAATATTTTTCGGCAGTGGAATCCATCTGGAGGGATCGAGTTTGCTCGTGTCAGGTATCTCTGTGTGCCTTCTTTCCTCGACACGTCTCTCCGTGTATTTCTTCAAGCAATCTACATCTGCACTACGACTTCTTTGGCTACGAGGAGATCGAGATGGTCTTCGTTGACTGGTGCCCAATGGGCCAGCCCTTTCCTGGGTTAAAAAAATTATTATTTCGTTATTACCATACTTGCTTTAAGGATTAGCTATCCATTCAAGAATTATTCACCTAAGCAAGATGTAACTTTGCGTAATCCGATATGTGCAAAATACCATGCTGGGCAGATGCAATGTGCAAGCTGGCTCCGCATGCTCGAGGATTTATCCTGAATGTGTGTAATTCCGCGACTTGTGTACTGCACGCTGTTGCAGTGTCCCCGTTTGATGATAATTTTCTAGCCCAGAATTCGTTTCCTGTAATTTAAACGACTGATTTTAATAAATAAATTTTTTAAAAATAACGAAATTTTTATCATCAAGGATAATTTTAATTAAAGTAAACTGTTCTAAAACCTGGTAACGCGTTTCCATCCCATGCGTACGTAACCACGAGAAGTTTGTTCGTGTCCGAGGGTCTGGCCAATTTGCTGTGAGGTTCTCTGAGAGCGAAGTGTATCTTTATATCTGAAAGATAACGTGTCGATTTGTAACGATTGTCTCTGTTAAATGAACATGTTAAATTCCTCTCAACAAACCTCCGAGATAGTCGCCGTTTTCAGCGTCGCCGCACTTTTGCTGATGGAAATACGCGAACATTATGTCCGATACATATCTCAGTTTCTTATTCATCTTTCTGAGAGCAATCTCGAATGTCTTTAGGAAATATATCTCTTGATCTTGGATTACTTTCCATATACCTGAAAATATTTTTTCACGTGGAAATTTACAACGATTATAATTATTCTAATAGATATATAATTATTCTAATAGATAATAAATTATGAATATTTCTACGAGGTAAAATATTTCTGTAAGATTAAATTACTTAAATGTAAATGGGATACTTTAAACTTACCCAGACCAAAACCTACGACGTGCAAGAAAGCAGTTGTGTTTTGCTTCTCTGCTCGTGTGTTTGCTTCGAGAAGTATGATTTCTACAGTGAGCAGTGTTCTTTTCATATAATTTTCGATGTCAAAAATTGTTTGATTATTTATTGAAAGATATCTTTTGTTCTCTTTTGCTTTAAGTCGCTTCACCGCTTCCTCGTAGAGCGGATGGTATTCCTCACCATAGAATTTCGCCCATAAAACGCGCAGTTCATGCTTTTCTTCCGAGCTTCCACTTGTTTGCGACCCATATCTATTGTGCAGATGTACAATCTTTTATCAAATACTTTACAAACATTTTTGTATTTTAAAATATATTTATTATAATAAATTTCAAATAACTCACCCATTGTCGACAGTGTTTTGTTGAGGAGTAATAAGAATGTCTTGATATTCCATAACGGTTGGTCGTTCAAATCTGCAAACAACAGGCAAAAGAAGTGAAAAATGCGATCTTTTGGAAAGAAAATCAAAACGTATTTTATATTTAAAAGAATTCTAAATAAGCATCCAATAGTTTTGTTAAATAAACATATAAAAAACCTTGATCCCACGACACCTATAATGACTCCTCTCGGCTGAACAGAGTCTGGATCGGTACTCACGACGCCTTCATTGTCTCGTGAACCGTTGTTTATGAATTCTGTGTGGGAGGACATCGCCATCATCGCGGATAATTTGATCTCGTCGTACGATAAACATTTCGTTAATACCTGTTAGCAACAAGTTCACATATATATGATCAATGATTTCAAAATAATTCTCAAAACAATTGTTCTTAATCCAATTGAAAAATACGTATAATATTTAAATATTTGTTGAAAACAATATTGTACAAGTAAGATAGATAACTAACCAAAGGTTCTTTTTCTTGATCCGTTCCAACGTTCTCCCATCCGTTCACGCCTGTTTTGCCATCGATTAATTTCCACGAATCGACAGGCTCATAAAAATGTACAGCTCTTTTCTCCAGTAAACGATGAATAAATTGCACCAAACCCATATCCTTATACATGGCCCTCTCGATTGCACTGCCATATAATCGTTTGTGTTTTAACCATCGAGCCAGCAATGGTAACATCGCCTCATGTATCAAAGGGTAAACCGAATTCGCGTTCATCTACAATTAAATCTGGGACCTCAAATGTTGAATTTGAAATGGAAGTAATAATACTTAACGATAATTAAGATACGATTTTAAAAATTACATTACAAAATGTATGCAAATATATGCATATGATTATATTAATTATAATTCTTTTATATTCAATACGGGATACGATGAAGAGGGAAGGAAATATCTAAGAAATTTTAATGGCCTAACCTCGAGGATGTTTGTGCTAATTCCTCTTTCTTTCAGAGCAGAACATCTTACGGTGTTAATTGGAAAATTTATAGGAAAGGCCTCGCTTCGTTTCATGATTTGTGTCAGGGTCGTAGGTGTTGATGTCGACACGTCGATACATCTTCTGAGAAGTTCCTTCGTGTCGTCATCAAAAGGAACACCATCCGGTGCCCCAAGCGTATTCTCCCACGATATTTCCGGTGGTTCCTTCAACAATGTCTGTTGACGGGTGTCATCCATTTGTGGTTGATTCTGTGAAATCGTATAAAATGAAAAAGAATCGAAAAATATCGAAACAATGATTTTTATTTCGAATCAATATACTTAAAGTCTATTAAACAGGGTTAAAAAAGAACGATTCGACATAAATTAAAACTTTATATATATGTAATTATTATGTATTAATCCCTGGATCAAAAGATAAGATAAAATTATATGGTAATAAGATAAATTTCTCAATATCTAGTTTACTATATTGTAGAATTAAAAAATAATAATTTCTAATTCAATCACTCTTTGATAGATTCACTTTTTTTTATTCTTTATATCGTTTATTATAATATATATTAATGAAAATAAATTTCTTGTTTTCAAATTTTTTTTTCAAATTGATGCAAAACTCTCCGTAATAAATAATTTAAAAATATCTTTTTTAACAACTGTTGTTATCAACTTAATAATTAGCAAATAAGAAAGTGAATAGAAATTGGGACATTTACCTTACATCGCGACTTGTGAATAATAAAAAAGCAAGGATCCTTTAAGAAAATTTACTAAAAACTAAAGTTGTGTTCTATTAATACAAGTACTGATTAGAGCAAGGACGCGATCTCTTTGATACTTGAGCATGAAATCCGTTAAGTAGCGGAAAATGTATCCGTTCACCCTAGCGAGTTACGTTGAACATGCTCCCAGCCCCCGGCAACCCCGTAACGCGAAGTTAACTTCATTTTTCTGTTTACCGATTCTGCCACCTGAACGACAGGGGTGAGCAAGAATTAAGGCTAGCCCACGGCCATGGAAAAATCGACTCAGCACTAATTTTTTATATTTTCTGGTAAACAATTGATTTCATTTTGTATCCTTATTTAACATGTATTTATACATAATTGTGAAATGTAATTATTTTATAAAAATAAAATGGAATGAATACGAAGGATTGAAAAAAACTCTTCATGTAAAATTTCATTTGGTTATTATTATAAGGCTGCTATTTGCTTGAGATATTAATTCATCTCCATTCTAAGTTAATTAATCATATAGGATGAGGAAATTTTAGAATTATTTCCAAATAAATTGATGAACTAAGATCTTACATTTTCTTTCAATTACCGATTTTTATAAATTGGAACGCAAAGTTTTTGTTATACTTGCTCGTTTATTTATGGATTTAAATAATTTCTAATATACATAGTTTTTTCTTAGATTTATTATTTTGATTTTTAGAAGGAAATAAATAAAATTTTCAATAGAAGGATATTTTAAAAAATTATATGTATGAAATTTAAAGATTTAAGTTTTTTCTTAAAAGTAAGAATAAATGATTAATTAGAAAATTGCAATAATTTTAAATTAAATATATGTGCATTAATATGCTTCATATTAACTAGAATACTGAGATATTATTAATAAATGTGTAATATTTATTTATATACACATTTTATTCAAATTGAAATTATCGAATTCAATTATATTATCCTATATATATCTTTATTTATAAATGTTTAAAAAATACTACTTTTAATCATAAAAAAGAAAAATAATTAGTAATAATAATTTATTAATATTTATATAAAAATAAATAATCTTCCAATTATTCAGAACAGAGAACAGAAATATACATAGTAGAAATTGAAACACTTCATATTTCATATTGTTATTATTTTTACCTGTATTTAAATAATTTGAGTTTGTAATATAGTTGATTTTCGTCAAATTTTTTTTTCTTAAAAAGTTATACAATAATTTAATAAATACGTCGGGAATACAAAAACTTACCCGACGTATGCAACATGCGAATAGTGACATGTCAACAGCTTCGAAGACTTGTTGCAATAATATATATGATCGGTAACGGAAAATTTCGTCCTTGTCGATAATAGAATGCAGTTTTTAAACTATTTCATTCGCGTTTTCCTTCGAAATACGTAAAATGCTGGATTGAGTTTCGCGTTAGAATTAAAAGATGCGTCCGCATGAGACAAGTCGTGAAAGGAAACTTGTTCACACGATACGAAATACACATGCGTAACTTGTGTATTTTCGCGCTCGCGCACACTTCTTCACAGAACGGAAGGCTTACGTATGATTTGCGGGAAATTAGGATAAATTGATTTATCAGTTATTTGGTCTTTTTGAAATTGCTTAAGTAATTAATTAAATGTCTAGATAATCGTAGTTTACAAATATTGAAAAAACAATAGAGAAAATTTTAAATTTTAATTTTAAATTTTTAATAATGTAGAAAATATTCATAATATTTTGAAATTTGAATCAGATCTCGCACGGTCTATAAGTTCCATCTATCGACAATCATTATAATCAATAGATAATATCAATAGTGAACATACCGATAGTTTCAATACAATCATTATCAAATCTTTAGAGAGATTCAAAAGATGGCACTAATAGTCAATTTTTATGCTATTTTTATCTATTTCGCCTCTATCTGTGGCACTCTGAAGATGGCGCTGATTTTCATATTTTTATTCTTTTTGTTCTTTTCTTCTATTTATTTTTTCTTTGACTATATACTTTATAAAATTTACATATTTAAAAGATAAATTTATTTATTATCTTCTTTTCATGAAATCGTTATATAACATTTACAACTAACATTTATTTAATTTCTAATAATATATATAAATAAATTCAGTTTATCTAAATTCATTTAAAAAAATCTCATAAATTGATATTATTGTATTGCAATAAAAAATATAAATACAATTTTTAATTCATAAGTAATTCAATACATATTTGTGTCATTACTATAATATTTAAAAAATTTAAAAAAAAAAGAATACATAAAAAAAAATTATTTTCCTGTTGATTTTACTAGCTTTTGCGACTTAATTAAATATAATTCTTGCATTTATTATTTTAAATTGTAGAAAGCATACTTTTTAAAAAAAAAAGCATTAATTTTTTTCGCGATCGATATTTCAGAACATAAAACATAGTCATTAGATTAAATTAGATTTATCCTTTATATTTCTTTGCGCTTTCAAAATATATTTATAGATAACTGATTTTTGTGATTCTTTTTGTTTAAATTAAATTTTACATTAAATAAAATTTATAAAATATTATATAATGTATATTGAAATGATGATATATGTGAATTGCAAATACAAACAATTTTGTATATATAAGAACAAACAATGAAAACTTGCCTGAAATCAATCTTTTGTAAATATTCCTATAAGTTTTGAAGAACAGATCAATTCGAACCAATTCGCATGGTATAACAGAAATTTTTCGAGGTCGACATAGTTATCGATTGAGAAATAGAAGAAAAGTATGTAATATACACATAAGCGAACGTAGGACATTAAGAGAGGAGAAGAGTTTGTTGGGAAAAAAGAGAAAGAACAAGAAAAATACGTCGATAAAACTGAGGTGAATGCCGCACGGTGAACGTACGGTACGCCGAACCCCCGTTTTGGAGGTAAGTAGTTAGTCCCTCTCTCTTTACAACTGCTCAGGGACGGCCCAAGACGAGTGTGTTTGAATGATTTCTTAAGCAAGTACGCTGAGAGCTTACTAATTATTCACTGTCGGGCATAACGGGTTTTTTAAAAAATTTATTTCTTTCGAATATTAATAACTTATAACATTTCATTATTTTCAAATATATTATTATAAAATAATTAAATTAATGTTAAACAATAAATTATATTTAATTGTGAATAACCTAAAATAATTTTATGAAAGTATAATTACATTCTTTGATATAAATTTTTGTATTTAAATATAATATGTATATAATATAATTTTATTTATATGTATTTATATGTATTTATATGTATTATATATATATATATCTAAATTATTTATGATAATTTATAAGCCATTGAATGTGTCTTCGTGCACTTCACCTTGATATTTGATACTTTCTTTGTCAAAGATCAAGGTACAGCATTTTAATATGTCGCACCTTTCTTTTAGTATTCTCTCAAAATAAAACTACGATTCTTAATCAATATTGCAGAATGTAAAATAAATCTAGATATAATCAAATATTTTTGTAACGTTTTTCAGCGTTTTTATTAATATTTTGAACTATTTAAAACAGAAAAATTGATATTGATATTTAATAATATTTTTTTTTTCGTAAAAGATATACTTGTCAAAATCAAATAAAATAGATAAACTGAACTCAATCTATGCATAGAAAGGAAAACTGAAAATATTACTCATATTTCTCTATTATACTTAGTTATCACTTTTCTTTCTTTATTTATTATTTAAAATTTAAAAAATTTCGTGCATTATATTATGCATTATATATAAAATCGGAAGAAACGTGAATTGATTGTGTACAATGAGCTTTGTATGCTAGCTACGTACCTGATGTAGTCTCACGGGCGAGGGCCTTTCAACTCGATCCGTATATTCACTATAGTCTCTCGTAAGGTGTGGTTCTCAGCGTTCTGGTCAGAACTATGCTCGTCCGGAATCAACAAGTGCTTCTCGAGACTACGTCGGGAAAACACTTGACCTAACTGAACTTAGTGAATACCTTTTTCTTCGTAACATCGTGTGCAAAAGAGAATTCGAAGAGACCGCGCATAGGTGGCAGAAAGAGTCACTGGAAATTGACTGTGTATATAGATCGATGTGAGTTCACGATCTTGAGAATAAATATTGTGACATCGGTTCGAGTTGATCATAAAGATCGATCTTTCCGTATTAAGATTCGATTGCTCAAATGCGAGACCGGAATCGTCGACATTATGTGTACTTCGTAGTGATCAATGACTGGATGAATCATTAGTTCTTCTTCGTCGAGATGCATTTATGACACGCGTGTTCTTTCGTCAAGATCGTCAAGAATTCTATGTGTATACCGGAGTTACGCTACACGTGACTTCACGCCTTGTCGACCGCGTGTTTATTATATTGCAGATATAATTCAATAGCCAGTGTAAGATTGAAGTTGACGAGGGAAAATCATCAACTATGAAGTACTGTAAGTACCAATCTTCAATTATTTAGTAATTAAGGATGTGAAATAAGAGAAATGTTAGATGCAGATGTGTGTTACATTTGTGTTAAAATAATCGACTGTATATATAATATGATTCTAATTTATTTTATATGTATCGAAAGATTGTTTTCTAAAATCATTTGTTTTTAGACTTCAATTTATAATTTTTAAATTATTTATTTGACAATTTATTCTCTTGATGATAGATAATATTTATTAATAGAAAGGTTTAATATTATTGAACAAATTCAGATTGTGAAATGTGTGACTTTGAAAGAGACAGATTTATATTATGATTATCGATTTAAAAATGAAATTTTATATAGAAATTATTCGATGAAAATGAAAATAACTGTTGATAAAATAAAACATAACATAACATATATATAATTATAGTCAGTGCTTTATTCTAAATTCTATAAAAGCTGTTTAAGCAAATTTCATGATACACCTGTCACTAGAATGCTTTTATATTCCTGCACGTGGTATAACAGAACGTTTTATCGAAAGAATTATTATTCAAAATTAATTTTATTTTAATATATAATATATAATGTTTTATAATTAATAAATAAGAATTACAATAATTTTTTAGAGAATTAACTTTACGTTTGAAAGTTAGTGAACTTTCTTTGTCACATTGGTAACTGATTCGAAATCGATTACCGATAGATATTGTAACGGATTAAATTAAATCGTTAGAAGTTCTTCATAATAACCTATTTTAAAAGTATTTTGGAATTTGAATTTTATTTTTAAGATATGATATTATTTATCAATATACAAGTTATATTTTAAAATATTTTAGAAAAACTTTTTTTTTCTGACTTGATTTTTTAATATAATTATACATAATGATTTAAAGTATACAGTTTTTATTCGTAATTTAATTCGTAATTTATTTTGAATTATAATTACTTATTTATAATAATTTAATTTATTATTCATTTGAATTTATTACAGAAATGAATATCTTGAGCATGTTAAATATTATTTATTATGAAATTTATTATTATATTATTATTATAAATAAAATCAGTATAAAATAATATTCGAACTAAT